GTCTCAGTAAACTACCAGCAACCCCCCACCTCCCCGTGCCGTGACACCCCTGAAAGCGCATCCCTCGGGGACGCAGACTCCGCGTGTGAAATACCGCAGGGGCACGCTGCATTCCTCCGCGGGTGAGGGCGGGAGGGTGACGCCAAGGGTGCCACTGACCCGGGGTTTGGGGGGGGCCCTTGCGCACCCTGGCTTGGCTGCACCCGGTGTGGTCCTGCCGTGACCTCCCGTGGATGCGGGCGCATATTGCAGCCTCTGCTCTGCCGGGAGCCCCGGGGAAGGGCTGTTACATCACACTTTTACCTGCGTTATTGTTAAATTATAATTATTAAATCATTTTAATTACTATACTCTTGCTTCTTGCGCTCCTCTCCAGCCTGATCCTGAGTTAAAAAGTGCGAGTAGGAGGAGTGGTGGAGAAGGCAGCGAGGAAATCCCTCCTTCGGAGCAGGCATCGCTGCTGGTGCGCAGCATGCCTGGTGCGTGGCTGCTCCCTCCTGCAGTTTCTCCCCAAATTCTGGGTTGTTTCTTACCTGAAGTCTCTATTAAGGGGTGCCTAAAGCCTATTGGAGCAAAAAAATCCGGAGAAAAGCTGTGTTGCTTGGAAATAGGCAGCAAGGCTTTTTAAAAAAAGGAAAGAAAATAAGAATATGTTTCCTTCCACCCCTAAATGGGAGTGGTGAATTGTGGGTTGCTCTTTTTTAATTCTGAAACGTTAGCAAATTTTGAAGCGTCTGTACAGAGGAGAGGAACAAGATGAAAAAAATGCTGATGAGGCATTTGGGAGACCCCCTCTTCTGGGTTTGGCTTTGCCTGTGTGATGCCAAGCTTAGGGGAGTGACAACTCTTTTCCTTCTGAATTTTTGGTGCTTTTTTTTTTTTTTTTTTAAATCCTGGCTTCCAAAACCCCTGCGGCGAGGTGCGTGTGCATGAGGAGCCCTGACTTTTGGTCTGCTCCTTAGGGCAGGGGGAGTTTCTTGCTGTCGATTTGGGAGATAAGAATGGATAATTTAAAAAGAAAAAAAAAAAAAAGGATAACATTTCAATCTAGGACTAAAGGTCTTAATTGATAGCAAGCTGTAAATGAACTAAATGAGGGTAATTTTGCATGCAGCAGGGTGAGTGAAACTTGGTTGGATTTATAGCTCTTGATTTGAGCTTTAAACTGGCGTAGTTGCTGTCTGTGTGTGCGACTGCTGGGGTCTGCCCTGTGTAAAATTCAGCAGAGCGGCTCAGGAAAGGATATTTTGGCTGAGCCAAGGGCCGGGAGCCTGGCTAGTATCTAGGATCCCGATTAACAAACTTTCCAGTCCTGCTTTCCAGCTGTTACCATTTTCGGACTGACTCTGAGCTCCGTTTACATTCCTGGCCCTCCTCCCCAGTGCCGGTGAACGTGTTAATGCCGTTTTTCTCCTTCCCCTTTGGCTTGTTGGTGTCCTATAAACATTTATTTGGCGGTGCCTCCCGAATCAGCACAGTGGCTGTGGATGATGTTGGGTGCGAGCAAGGCTGTAGCACCGGGACATTGGGGGTCTTGGAGGGGGGTGAGGCTGGGCTTCTCCTAGATGGGACCCTCTGAGGGTTCTGAGGTCAGCCCAAATGAAACAGAGGAAGGCAGCTAGGAGCTGAAGGAAGTGGGGTTTTATGGATTAGCTAAAATAGCATCTTTCTGCAGCAGCAGAGTAAGTGCAGTGCCTGTTGGCAATGAGGGAAGCCTGAAGTCACCTCATGGCTTTATGCTGTGCAGTGATGGAAACCAGCAGAAGATGAGCAGATGGTGATGCAGGACCTGCTGCTACCAGCAGAGCCGTTGTGGGAACCCACCACTGTGCCTGTACGTGCTGGGGAGCCGCCGGCGGGGCAGCAGCCTTATTTCCCCAGGCATTTAAGTGGCCTAAGCAAGGAGGGATTGCTCTGAGTCTTGGGGACCTGGAGCCATCCTGATATTTCAGAGGATGCTTCCAGGTCTACACTCTCTCCACCATGCCCTGAAACCCTCCCACAAGGCAGGAAGACCAAGTGTGGAGGCTCTGCAGGATTGCTCTGAGGCCAGGCTGCTGTAAGCAGCTGTGGTCGGAGCTGTGAAAGGGATGCTTACATACCCAGATCCGCTTAGGGCACCCACTTCCCACCCTACTCGTGGTTGAGCCCCGGGACCTGCTTGTCCAGCAACACCGGGGAGAGGAGATGTGCTGGGGCTGGGTGTGTTTGGGGGTTCCATCTCCAGCAGGCTGCGAGGAGGCTCAAAATTAGCAGAAAGTGCAGATTCCTCTGTGAGCTTCAGCTTCTCAGCCTGCTTTTAAAAAGCTATACTAACTGCTTGCAGAAGCGAGTGCTGGACCTTTACATACCTCATGTGAGTTTTGGGGATCAATCTCTCTTGGCGTGACAAAGCAGGGGGCAGGGGCTCCCTGCAGACCACTTAACACCAGTCCCAGCCTGGATTCAGCAGCATTCTCGTCCCTGGCTCCCGTCACACACATCCCTCCCTCCTCTTCTATTTCTGGGAAGGAAAAGGGCATTTTGGCTTTGAGAGGTGCAGGCAGTGCCTTGATGCTCCCCAAACTGCTGTTGTCTTTCTGAACCTGGCTGGGGTGGTGGCATCTGCCAGTCCCCTCTCTGTCCCAGGGGGTTGACATCAGGAGGGGGTGTGAGGGATCAGTGTGGCTGGGGGGGGCTGCTGTGTGCCAGGGGGTGCCCGAGGGGATGGGTGCTGTGGCTGGGGGTGTGTGTGTACTGTGTGGCAGGGGGGTTCCCAAGGGGATGGGTGCTGCATGTCAGGGGGTCCCTGAGGTGCTGGGTGTTGTCTGGGGGGATGCAGTGTGCTGTGGGGTCCCAAAGGGGATGCTGGAGCTGGGGGATGCTGCGTGCCAGAAGGTCCCCTCAGGGATGGGTGCTGTGGCGGTGGGAACGTAATGTGCCATGCTGGCCCCAAGAGCATGGGTGCTGCGTGCCCCAAGGGGATGGGTGCTGTGGGTGGGGGATGCTGCATGCCGGGGGGTGTCCGG